TGACTAAGTTCAGAGCGCAAAATTAGAACAGCTCCATTATATTTCGTATCGATAAGCCAATATTTTCCCTACAGTTCTAGCTTCAATTTAAAATTTGAAAAATACATGTATGGGTAAGATATGTCAAAATTGTACATTTTTTGTCGCGACAACTGAAATACGTGTAAAATGCGGTAAAACTTTAGAAGGCTAAAAAGTTTGAAAATGCGTGTCGTTTGTATACATCAATCGTTTTTTAACTTATGTAAAAAATTAATTCTTTCTGCAAAAAAATTCTCTCTGCAAACGGGCATAAATGACGATTCATAAATGTGAAAAATAAGAACATAGTATACAGTGTTTCTAGTATGCGCACTAAGAGTAAGAAAAATATATCCTGAATTTTTATTTGTGTAGGCTAGACAAAATGAACTCCAAAAATGACACAACAATGTTTCCCTTAATTTTTCGTTACGCAATCTGTGTCCGATTAACGTATTCTCGCAAAAGCAGGTACCCGTGTACCTATGTAGAAATGGTTCCGTATTAGCAATATGTGACCTAATGGTGAGACACGGTGTCTCTAACTTCAGATATTATAAATTGTTACCAGATTAAAGTCCATTGATTGATCTACTGATAGGGGGAGATTTCGTCACCCAGGCAAAAAACTCAAACCCAACAGTTGACTGATATTAGATAACTTGTAAATCTAATTTGTATTATTCATAACACAATTCTGTAGTAAGTCAAGCTGAAGTTGATCGAATTCTTCTGTATTATTACACTCTGACCAATTTGCACTAAATCTATAGATTTTTTTTGTGTTAAAAACAATGGCATGGTTTATATTTTTTATTTGGAAGTTCACATATACACATGAAATATCTTATATACTAGCTAGCATTGTAAATTTGTGTTTTCAAACTTCTTCAAACCGAATCGGTTAATTTTCTTTTTGGAATTTCATCCTTTTTTTTTTTTTATTTTGCTTTAGCAACTAGTATCTTAAAATCCTGGAATCTTCCGCCAGGAAAAAAAATCCAGGTAGAAACAAACTTTATCAACTTTTTTTTCGATGAAAATATCAGAAGCCATTATGATTGATTGGTCAGGAGATATTGCTGAGAATCTCGGACTTGAGTTCTCATTTAGCAACTGTATTCAATGATGTTATTGCAGTCATTTTCATACACAATTACTTTAGATAACTTTTTTTCTGGTAAAAATAAATAATCATCACTTATCTGTGAAAAATCAATTTCATCTGAGCCATGGCATGAATAAAAGGACTGACTAACTGTTGTAATGTATTTCTGATAGCGCTTTACCTCAATTTTTGAAGACAGGTTAAATAAATGATCTTGATTCTTTTTAGAAATATTAATTTGCCAGCGTGAAATATTTTTCATGGGTTGCCGACTCATCATCCATCAAACTACTTTTTCAATGAATACATTGGATATCGACAAAATTATTTCCATTCAAGTTTTATTGATCAAAGTTACTTTGACGGAACAAATTTCAAGATGAGTAGACCCGATTTCTTCCTTGATCCGATGTAGTGATATAATTTCAAATTAAAAACATGAAAAGATATCCATATTTATCTTCTAAAATAATGGACTTTTTAGAAATACAATGATTTGGAGAATATTTTTTAGTCCTCGGAATGCTTTAGTAGAAACATGCCACATGCCATAAAGCAAGCACCGCCTGCCTCCGGAAGTCTATTTAACAATAACATTAAACATTTTTCAATACATTTTCATCTACTTTCTAATGAATCTGTTGAAATCTATCCACGCGTATAGTTACATTTCATGCATTTGGTAACTTTTTCCCTATTATTTGACACCTTTATGTGAATAAACGTTTCGATTTAATAGGCATTTTCCAAACTTATTTAAAATACGGCAGCGGAATCCCAATTCTGCGTCTCGCCCATTTAATAAAATCTAAGTGCCTCTAATCGATGATATTTAAATTCCGGATTACCGATCTACGTCAAGTTAAGATGCATTTTCTATTTGCCATATAAATATCGGACGTATTCTAGCACACTCGTATACCAAAGACAGCTATTGATTGCGGGCTGTATATTTTTTCACTATTTTCGATGTGGTTTTCTAAACAAATTTCATCAACCAAAGACAAACGTCATTCAATGCCCTTTTTTTCTGTGTTTGGACAAAGAGCCAAATTTTCCTTGTTGTACTGATTGTTTCTTCGCCGATGGGTGCCGAGTGGATTTTGTACTTCTGTGGCAAACATCTTAATTAAGCTAAGAATTAAATGTCCATACGTTACATATAAGAACTGTAAACAGTGCCGCCAAGAGGAGCTGAAACTTAAGCAGATATAAACATTATCCAAGACCTGTCTGTATTTATACAGTTTTTGGTATCGCTTATCAAGTGCTTCATAAATTTGCTTGTTTGGTTGGTGTTTGACTTACTTATAAAATTATCATGGCAGTTGCGCACCAAAGACGAAGGACCGAGGACACAGAGATGGAGAAGGACGCATCCAGACCCTTCTTCAGAAGGCAAGAAGGTAATGCAGCTCACAGTAGCGAAATATTTGATTTCATATTATTTTAAATATGTCTTTACTTGTTTAGTTTTTGATTTTCTCATTTCCCTTTCTTTTTATCTGTACTTTAGTATAATTTTGTTTTGTTTTAAATATTGTTGATTTAAAAAAAAGTGATTTACAGTATAGCTCACAGAAGCAAAATATTTGATTTCCAAATATTTTGAATACGTCTTTTTAGTTTTTACTTGTTTATTTTTTTTATTTTTTCATTTCGTTTTCTTTTTATCTGTACTTTAGTTTAATTTTGTTTCAAAGTTGCACATCGATTATATTTCAAAAATTAAAAGACTGAATTTTTTCCTGGGAATTTTGGTTTTTATTGCCGAAAAATTATTAAAGATTGTGCCAAGCATAGAAAGGAAAAATGATTTTTTCCTGCCAGTTTTCACATTTCAAATATTACAGAACTTCCAAATTTATTGTGATTAGGCTTTTAAAAAACGTTTCACTTCAATTCAGCGGTTCTTTTTTATTAAGACGGCATTGAAAATGGTAAAAGATAAACATCAGGTAGATTATTGATAACCAGACTTGATTTCACACTGACTTACTGTATAACAAAATTTTTGCAGGCGACATGTATCAAAGAGAAATTAAAAACAGAAAAATATTTACATGCCAAGGGTTATAAAATAACGTTTATATTTTCAGTATTAATCTTATAAATACATATGTCATTGCTCTCAAGATTTTGTGTTTGGAAAAACAAAAATATGAAGTATATATATATATACACCTTTGTATATGGCTTATTTATCTTTTTAAAGCATGCAACGAAATTATGAAGCTTTACTAAATCAATCATATCACAAAGTCTACAAATCCTAGCGATGTCTAAAAGTAGATGGGGTTTGTGTAATTTGACCGACAATTTGGTTTGCGTTATGGCACGATTATTAAGCTCAGATCTTCTATTGCAGTGATTAATCGTTTTTATCAAAAAGACAACGTGCAAATTAAAAGGATTTCTAACTGGAACAAAAAATATGTGCATTCTAGGGCTTTGGTAGACCTCATTTTAACCCTTCAAAATCTCTAGAACATTTTACCCACAAAAGAATTTCCAAATCCATCCGCGCCTGAAATTAAAAGGATTGTATAAATGAAAATTTTAACTAAAACGAAAAAAATTTATGCATTCTATTTGCTGAACATTTTACCCACAAAAGAATTTCTCAGATAGTTGTCTGAATAAAACTAGATGAAACCCTCTTTCCCTACAACCTTTCAGACTGTGGACAACCTCGAATTCTTCACCAAATTACTTATAACACAGAAAAAAGATTGTTTACATGAAATTTGATTGTCAAATTAAACGTTGCCCCATGGTTCTTTAATTGCACAAACTTCCAATATGTCAACTCTCCGAATTTTGTTCCTTCGGAGGTTTAAATGCGCTGTCACGCCATTAAATCCTTGTATATCAGCTCTGTCAGGCCTTTTAAATTAAGTTGATGTCATATTTTTTTTCTTTTAATGAGTGTCAGTGGATACAGTTTTTCTTATTTATTCTTTCGGGTGTGGCGACGGGGTGAAAATAAAAATGGGTACATCTTGATATAAAATCCCAAATGACACAGGAATTGGTAAATTGTTGTCATTGAGTTGTTTGCATTTCTTGGTACAAAGATTCGAAAAAAAGATATGGGTATTTTTAAATTTTTGTTTTGCCTTTTAAGAAGATATGTATTCCATTTATTTTTATCTTATAACAGCCAGACTCAGAAAATTGCACTTGCCTTCACCATGAATACAGTTGCAACAAGTTCAATTGTCTATTTCTGTTACAATTAAAGTCTAGAGTGTTCGGTTCAAAATGTTTATCGCCCAAATGATGAATTGTAAAATTACCAATATGATTTCTTAATCCTTTTAAAAATGTTCGTTCATGTGTAGCAATGTTCAAAAGCTAACGACCGATTATGAATCCATTCCTTTCACAGCACGGTTCCAATATGCATGTATATAATTAATTGATATGGTATTGACTTTAAAAGAATATTGAACTTTTGAATAGATTTCTCATGATTAATCACACTGATTTTAAAATCCATATTTAAACTATATGAAAACTTTAATTGAACAGGTGTTATTTTTAACAAAATATAAACTAGAGTGCAATACACTGGAGAAGTTTGTCTTTATGTATCAAAGTTTGAAGTACATAAGGAAATTACATGTGGGATGAAATATCTATCAGATTATGTTTGTTTTTCATGAATCGTCAAATATTTTTTTGGAAATCCCCTGGACTCTTTCTGTTCATTTTTTTTTTTTTGCTAAATTGAAAATGACATCAGTCATGACAATTAAACTCCCCGTGGATTGTTTTCTAACTGCACAAATCCAAACATACGCCTGTGTACATTGCATTCTGTTCTTTTGCATACAAAGGTTTTGGGGCTGGTAATCTTTGAAATTAAAGAGAGATGACACTTAAAGTCAGAAAGTCCCCAAGTTCTTTGTCACACACAGCTGTGTGCGATAACAAAGAAGTGTTTTAATTTAGGTACACCTAGCTTCTATCTATTATGATCTATATAGTGTTAATATTGGGGATTTCCCCCATAGAATGGCAATGTGAAATTCAGTTATGCTTTTGGATAATGCTATTTCATTCTCATAGACTTCTAAATCAGAAAGATTTTTTTTTATTCTTGAGTTTTGTACACTTTTGAGCAATTATAATCAGCGTTTGGTTTCTTTTATATTGCTTTTTATTTCATTTTACTGAGCTGCATGTAATTCAAAATTTAAACTGTATGAAATTTATTACTCTGCAGTTATTAATTTAATTATGAAAAAAAAAATCTTTAGAGGAGATAAACAAAAAAAATTCAAATCTGTAACATTTTGTAATGAAGGATGAATTTAAGTGTCAGTTTAAAAAGTAAAACTGTGTGAAATGATAACACTAAGAACTTTTCTTGTCATAAGATTTACAGTCAAACTTCGTTATCTCGAACCTGATGGGACTGAGAAAAACCTTCGACATATCCAGGATTCGAGATATCGAAGGTTAAATACTTAAAGAATATGTAGTTGGGACTTCCAAATCACTTCGACATATCCATGGTATTCGAGATATCAGAGTTCGAGATACCAAAGTTCAACTTTATGGTCATGATAAGGAGCCCCTTTTTCGGCGAAAGGATTACTAGAAATCGGGTTACTTTTATATAGATCCAACAAAATCTGTATATCATTCTATATCTATATACCTGATATGTTTGACACGCACTTTGCAATTTTATTTTATTTTTTCGATATATATCCATATAGTCTTCATTCTCTGTGCATATTGACTTTTCTAACTTTTCATCAATGTTGTCTAGAACTCGTGTAGGAACGATATACAAACATGTTTTGAATATCAAAATCTTTTCCTTTTGATTTATACCTAATGTAGGCCTTATACGTTTCAGAAATATCGACCATTTCATCGATCCTTATTTTTTCTTGGGCAATTGTTTGATCTTAGATAAAGAACTGTCGTGAAAAGGTTTCTTCGGTGTTAATATATATGGATTAGTGGTTCAAAGCCTAATATAAATCCAAGTGTGGACTAAATAAAAACATTGATATTTCGGACCAGTGTAAATGAATGTTCTCAAGAGAGTGCTCTTGATATTGTCTTACATCTAACTGCAAAACACGTGTTGGATTTCAAGCACCTGCATGCTGTTTGTCTCCTGTTTCCAAGTCACAAAAATCTAACTCTCCGTGAACCTCTTGATGCGTTCGGCCCTGAAGCACCCTCGATGATCCGAATATATACATTCTAAGGAGGTTTATATATATATATACACGTCTTGGTCGATAAAACAACCTTTACTCTTGAAATGACATTGATGAGGACATTTCTGTCTTTAAAAATAAACACCATTATAAAACAGTGCAACCCAGTACCTTCTTGGATGTTAGAATGTTGATCCTATATTCAGCCATGCAAGGATTTGGGATTTAGAAAATATCTACATCGATAAATAATAAAGATTTAATGAAAGAAAAATTGATACATAAAAACGATCTTCATTAAATTTCAAGTATTCGATACAGTCAAATTGTTCTTGCTACAATTAAGAAATTATAACTGCATCTGCATATAGTACATTGAAACACTCTAATGATTACTCTTTTGAAAACCAGTTGGTCAAATGCAACTTAGCGTAACCACCACCATCCTTTCAGAGAGGAAACTGAGTTTAATTTTCCTCTCAGTGAACTGAAATTAAATATAGATAAAATAATTTTTACATTGTATGCTTGTGTTTCAGGTGAGGTCGGCATCTACATCGCTGTATACGATGCTACCGCTGTGAACCCAGAAGCCTACGGGTCAGAACATTTCTACTTCATGGAACTGACCGAGAGACTCCATGAACAACTCAATGGTGGAGACTTCGTCAAAATGCGGGCGCATCTAGAACGGAAAGGGGAATTTAAAGGCGCCTATATTGAACGTTTTGAGAAAGGTATATCAATTTTTTTTTAAAAGCTAAGATTTTAGCGATCTTCGCCTATCCCATTAGCAAATGGATATTGCAAGAAATCAAAAATATATGTTATGTTTCTCAATTCAATTGTAAATTTTAGGTATCGTAATGGCTGTTGGATTTGACAACATTGACGCATTAGAAAGCGTTTGGAAACTCCATAAATCCGAGAAAATGACTGGATTGATGCAAGACCTTCTAATCACTCAGCCATTGTTAAAGAAACTAGAAGCAAAACGCATCGTCTTGACGACAAGAATGTTTGAAGACGAGTACACAAACTGCAAGAATGAACTGCTCAGTCGATCGCTTCAAAGGATTAGCATTAAAACAAAAAGTACAAACAGAATTATACTTATCTATTATTCAATTAGATATTTATTATTCAGTTATTTATGCTTTGAAGTTTATTGATGTTATTAAAGAGCGACAGTAGAGGAAGTTTAGTGCCGTTTTATTTTTTGGACAATTTTTGGGGTCTTTTGATTAAATTTTCAGTGTACTTCTATGCTTTTTTTTCTTTATTGCACAGAGCACGACATGGAACTTCTCCAGAAACTCAAGAATTTTCAAAACAAATTCAACGACGACGTTCAAGATCTCCAAGAAGCTGAGGCAAACTTTGGAAAGAAACTTGGTGAATTCATGATGATAGCAAAACAAATTCTGCCCGTGAATGTTATCAAAATTAAAACAGTGAAGGAATTCGAGACCATTGTCAAGGTGGCTAAAGGTACACCCAAGGCAGGAAAGAAGCTAGAAATCATAGACAAATATTTTGACATATTAAAGAAACTGAGGACCAAATTTTTAGAAATTGAAGAAGTCGTGTGTTTGCCTCTTCTACAAATGCACAAAGTTTGTGAAACGGAGAGACAAAGAGAAGTCAAACCGAAAATCCAATCACTGTCCAAGGAAACTGCTCAGAAGTTGAGGGTAGACACCGATTTACAGAAAGTGTCCCATCCAGGATGGGCTAAACGTCTTCTCCGATCGGAACACGATCTTTTCCTTGGACTTTTGTCATTGGTTCCCATTGGAACCGAGGCAGCATTTGATATCAACTGTCTTCTTGATGAATATATAAACGACTTTCCTCTGTAGAAATGTTATTGTTCCGTAAAAAATGAACAATTATAGATGTCTTTAGATTTTTAGTACTTTATTTCGAATTCTATTCTCTACTAGTCAGACAGAATATACGTACATTATGTATGTCATTTCATATACATCAATGAACATTGCCTTTCTTTTTGATAAGGTATCGCATAAACTGTTTTCACCTTTATATTGCAATACAAGTATACGTACATGTAACTTCTTGTATCAGGAAAGAACATTTAAATCAACAGAGCAATAAAGTGCAAATAAATATATCTTCAATAAAAAGGCACTGTCGTCAATATTACATGTACAGAAATAAACTGGATTCGTAAAACAGCGATGTTCAGTTATGGCAGTTCTTTGTGAAGGTTGAGGTTTCACAAATGTAGGTCATACTTCAAGGTAAAAGTCAAAATATCAAAAATTTGGTGCCAAAAGACTTGTACCAAAAAAAAAAATACTTGAGAACTATGAAATACTTCAGAGCAACTTACCATAAACTAGTGCTAATTGTAACGGGAACCGTTACAGATATTCCCCAAACGCTCCCCAACTCCCTTTCGGTGCCATATCCCCTGTAAGCTTCATTAAATAAGACAAACTCTCTGCATTTTTGACTTTAACAATGTTTTCCCAGAAGGATATCAATTATATTCAATTCTTATCATTGCACCAAAGCGCATGTGAATGCATGTGCATTATGACCATATTATCTTGTCTACACTATTTATATATTTCAATATACTATACATTAGAGCATTCAGTCCAAAAGTAATAAAAATCACTCATTCAAGAGTATTTTTAAATATACTCATTTCAAATGCACGCACGTGCGTGCACGTGCATTATGATAATACCTTCTTGTAGGAGTCCATTACATCTATCTATGTTCTAAAACCCATTCTGTTTGGTTGAAAAACAAGGGAGTTATAGCCATTTAAAGTTTCAGCCAATCAGATTTCAGCACACGTGCATGCGCGTAATTTTATGATTTTTTTAAATATCATTTTGTAGGATATACTAATGCATGACTATATTTTAAATTTCAAAGAATTTCGTCAAAAAACAAAGGATAAATAGTTATTTAAAGTTTCAGCCAATCAGATTGCAGCACACGTGCATGCGCGTGATTTCATGATTTTTAGTCTATATCATTTTGTAGAATATCGTAATACATGCCTATATTTTAAATTTCAAAGAATTTCGTCAAAAAACAAAGGAGATATTGCCATTTAAAGTTTCAGCCAATCAGCTTGCAGCACGCACACATGCGCATGCTTTCATGAAAATTCTTATATATCTTGCAGTAGATCTTCATAATGTAGGACTATGTTCAAAATTTCAAAGGATTATGACAAGAAACAAGAAAGATATTGAGAATTTAATTTCAGCCAATCAGAGCAAAGCGCACGTGCATGCGCGTGAGATCTTGCTATTTTGACCATGCTATCTTGTCTATACTACTAATGTATCCTTACATTATGAGTTTCAAAAAAAATCATCAAAAAATAGAAAAGTTACGACAATATCCATTATATTGGTAATTTCACATGTTGCACGTGCGCGCTCTTGCAAGCACGTGCGCGCAAAATGACCTTTGTTTGGCAACTCTACATAACATGCCTACTGACCCTAAAAAGGTTTCATCTTAGTCGGATGTGTAATTTACAAGATCACTCGTGGACAAAATTTTCCCAGGAAGAAGAAAAATAATAATAATAATAATAATAATAATAATAATAATAATAATAAGAAACAGAGTAAAAACAATATGTTCCCCAACTTCGTTTGGGGAACATAACTATGGCCACAGTAAGTTTTTGAAAAGGAGGTTAAACTCCGTGGTCAATAGCAGAGGGTAAAAAGTTGGTAGTTGAGGAAAGAGCTTATCACATGGAATACATGTACACATGTAAAATATTAAAGCCCTAACACCTATTATTCAAAATTTATTACATATAGTGTTAAAGTTTTTCAAAAGTAATGATATTGCAAGGTCAATGTCAAAATTCTTGGTAACAAAGGGAAGCCCTTGTCACAACTATTACATACAATGTACATGAAATATGAACGCCTTAGCAACAACCGTTCAAAAGTTTTGACCAAGGTTAAATTTCTTCAAAAGTAGGCCAAACTCCAAGATCAAGTTCAAAGGATCAAAATTGTTGATAACCAAGGGAAGGTTTAGTACAAGAAATACACTTGTGAAAAGCAAAAACATTATCGTCAACCAATCAAAATTTTGAAAAAAGTGGGTCAAACAACAAGGCCAAGAGGTCAAATGTGTTAGTATCCAAAGAAATGCCAGGTCAAATATAAGATATGAAATCCATAGCACAAAAGCAATGACAAGAGGTCCATGGGCCACATCACTCACCTGAATAGCTATGACCATTCTGTTTTTTACCAGATTCCCCATTGTAATACCTTTTGTGATCCCACCCTATACCCCACGGGTCATAATTTGGACAATTTAAAATCTACACTACCCACCATGCTTTCGCATAATTTTGAACTTTTCTGGCCCAGTAGTTCCCAAGAAGAAGATTTTTAAAGATTTTTCCTATATATGTCAACGTAAAACTTGGGTTGCCTGTTGTGGTCCCGCCCTACCCCCAGGGGTCATGATTTGGACAATTTAGAATCAACACTATGCAAGGAAGCTTTCACATAAATTTCAGCTTTTCTGGCCCTGTGGTTCTTGAGAAGAAGATTTTAAAAGATTTTTCCTATATATTTTAATGTAAAATTTGGGTTCCCTGTTGTGCCCCCCCCCCCCTTTTCCGGGAGTCAGTATTTGAACAATTTAGAATCTACACTACCCCATCATGCTTTCGCATAAGTTTCAGCTTTTCTGGCCAAGAGGTTCTTGGGAAGATTTTTAAAAAAGTTTTTTCCTATATATTTCAATGTAAATATTGTGTTTCCCTACTGTGGCCCCGCCCTAACCCCGGGAGTCATTATTTGAACAATTTAGAATCTACAGTACCCAAGGATGTTTCTACATAAGTTTAAGCTTTTCTGGCCCAGTGGTTCTTGAGAAGATTTTTTAATGACCTCAACGATTTCTGTCTTTTCTTGATTATCTCCCCTTGTAAGGAGACTTGGTCTTTCATTTTAACAGTTTAACCTCCCCTTCACCCAAGGATGCTTTGTATCAGGTTTGGTTAAAATTGGCCCAGTGGTTCTTAAGAAGAAGTCAAAAATGTGAAAAATTATAACAGACGGACGGACAAAATGTGATCAGAAAAGCTCACGAGCCTTTGGTTCAGGTGAGCTATAAAGTTATTATGGCACGCCAAATTCACAAAAATGAGATAAACATAGTTTCACAATTGATAAACTAGGTTTATCGACTGTAAACTATAGTTTACAAACCGTAAACTATAGTTAACGATTCGTTAAGTATAGTTTTCATCTGTAAAACTATATTTAACGGTCGTTAACTATAGTTTACGAATGTTAATCTAAGTTTATCTGGCTGAATAAAGCGTTAACAATAGATTTTGTTGATAAACATAGATTCACGTTTGTAAACTATAGTTTACAATCGTAAACTATAGTTAAGAGTTGTTAATCATAGTTTCACAAATCGTGAAACTATATTTATCAGATCGTTAACTATAGTTAACGGTTTGTAAACTATAGTTTACAAATCGTGAAACTGTATTTATCAGATAATCTATGTTTTGCAATCGCAAATGATTGTTTTCGGTGTTAAGTATAGTTTACGGTTGTGAAACATTGATTATCGCGTTAACTATGGTTTACAGATGTGAAATGTAGATTAACGTTGTTAACTATAGTTTACAGTCCGTAAACTATAGTTTACAACCGATAAACCTAGTTTATCGATTGTGAAACTATGATTATCTCATTTTTGTGAATTTGGCGTGCCATAAGTTATGGCCAATGTTACTTTTGTGCAGAAAAACAGAGTAAAACTAATTGCTCCCTAATCGGGACAAACAAGGAATATCGGTAATAATTCCATTTTTAAAATAGAAATTAAAATTTTCACCAAATTTTGGAACATACATGTACATTGTATGTGCCTTTTTTGTCACGTCGTCTTTTGCATGAAATGTCTATGTGGCAGGTGGTTGGCTGGAGGAGATTGTCATGATTTGAACAAACTAAAATTGCCTGTATTGCTTGAGGATACATCCATATCAATATAACTAGTCACGGCCTCGTTGTTTTTGATATTTTTTCCTTTTATTCTTATGATATACTTTGATCTCCCCCTTCCTGTCATGATTTGAACAAACTTGAAATTACACTACATGAGGATGCTTCATTATCAAAATATGGTTAATCATGGCTTTGCCCTTGAAACGATTTTTAAAGATTGGTTTTTGATTTTTCCCCATGTTTTGATGGTGCTGGGGGGAGTTGGATTTGAATGTAAACTACCCAGGGTGGTGGTTGATCATGATTTTGTGAAGCTTAATAAAACTTACCCCCCCCTCCCCCATTGTGGCCCAACCCTGCCCCTGGGATCAGGATTTAACATGATTATTATACTATGTCTTAAAAAATCTTTACAGAAACAAGTGCATGTGAGGGGAAAGAGAACATTCATCCCCACCCCTCAGTGCTATGAAAATATACATTCTTCAATGTTTGAATCAGAATGTCATCAGTATTTATGCAAACAAGTGGCAAAGTGAGCCATAATTTTTTTTCTTATTTTTATATTTAAACTATTTTGATGCCTAGGTCTTCTTCTAGAAAATATAAAGAAAATCAATCCTGTTAAAGTCTTTATTGTACCACTTTAAAAATGTAAAACAATCAATCATCACCATTGCCTCATTTTATTACTTGCAAAGAGAGACAACTCTTCGTCGGTCCTGCGACATTAAATGTTGTGTCCTACATGTCACCACAAAAGTGTGCATAATATAGACTTCACAATGGATGAATTAGAATAATTTTTGTAATGTAAGTTTATCAACAATAAAAAAATATGTGATTAAAAGGGCACTGTAAAATAGTGTACATATAAAACAATATGGCAGTACAGTTCAAGTATTCAAATCATGCACACATGGCAGATAACTCTTTAATCTATAATTTAACAAAAAGTAAAATCTTGAAATTGTGCAACAATTTTCATTTTATGCCTCTAGGTATGATTCAATGTTCTTTAAAGTTTTGACAAATGGTATTAAAAAATTTGACATTTGTACCTCATAAAATCAATAAATCTTGCACAAACAGCCTTAGTTACCAATTTTTATTGTTGAAATTTGATTTACGGTGTTTTCTTTGAAAAGAAACACTTATACAATGCATTAAAACTTTTAAAGTACTAAATAAGTGTAAAATTCATGCAATTTTCTTTAAAAGCCTGGATATTTATGATTTTTATTCCTAAAATGTATTTCTTGATCAATTATAAATTAAAAAATATTCAGTAGGTAGTTCAATTTTCATAGATTTTCAGAACCTGAGGATCGGATAACCTTAACATTTGTTTTTGTTATTTTCACCTTCAAACAAAACTTTTTAATCAATAGTTCATCAGAATTTATATACTTTGAAAGTACAACATAGCAAATGTGGACTTTGTTGAGAATATGTGAAAAATTTCATCAGAGAAATCAAAGCTGTAAACATTATTTACCTCCAAATTTTTTGGGGGAAAAAGATCTAGCTACTAATAAGACAATAATTCTATACAACAATTTGTTAAGTAATAATCTTATAAGTATTAATACAGGATACTGTCAAATATATTTTACGAAGAAATTCACAAGTTCTGGAAATATTTTCTGTTTTATTTGTTAGTAGTAAAAATTCAATTTGTATCATTGCCAAGACTTTTAATAATACAATTGAACACAGATATAAATATCTTAAAAGATGTAAAAATGACTGCCCTAACAAAAATGCAAAATACATGTATGTTAACAATTGCCCCAAAAAAATATCTTCACTTCTTTAGCCAACCAACAAATTCAAAAGACCCACAATATAAAATATGCCATAAAGTAGCCATATATAAATACAGAAAAAATTGATTTGATAATAATGATGTCCAAAATTCAAAGAGAAAAAATATGATCAGTGTTTTCTAAATTGATTCAAAATTTCATTTAATAACTGACATCAAACTCATTAAAACCCTAGCTGTGAATATACTGTATACTGTGACAACATTACAACAACAAAGTATTTAACAGTGGCATAAGAACATATGTGTAAACGGTGTATATAAAAATCAACATATCCTCAAATGCTTCAGGTGGAAACCAGTGCATTCATAAAATCTCTTATCCACCAGTTTTTCATTCTTTCAGACTACAGAAAAACTATACAAAGGGTGAACAATGTTCTTTATACATTTCTCAACAGAGATCTATTGTTAAAGAAGAGAAAATTCAGTCTCTAAATTTTCACTTTTCAATTCAAATTTTTCTATATACAACAAACCATATATTAGTTCATGTATAACACACACAAAAAAAATTAAAAACAGACAACAAGCCATATAAGGGGAAAAAACATCAACCATCCATCATGGGTTCCAAGTGCCAGACTAAATGAGCTGTAAATTCTAGACGATTTCCTAACTTCTTAAGACATTTTCTACAGGTAAATGGGTCTTCTTCATCTGCGTCATGCAAGGAACTGTGTAGCAGGCTCATGGAATAGTCCTCAAAATAAATACTACAATGTTCACACTTCCATGTCTTCTTCTCTGTCGGAGCCGTTGTTGATGTTGCTGCTGGAGATTCTGCCTGTTTGGGCGCAGTGGTATTAGTTTTGTCCACTGAAACAGCATTGCTATTGATGCCTAGAGTTTTCACGAGACTTTTGAACGTGTTTCTTGGATAAGGGTAGTTCATCTGAAGCTTCTTTCTCACAGCAGCCTTGTAACTAGCAGGGCCTAACTTAATTTTGCTGGGTTCTGCCAGAGTCTGGGAAGTTATTGGCTCAGTATAACTAGTCACTTTTGCCCCTGTCTTGGGATAGACCATAATTTCCGTTACTTTTCTTCCATTCCCTATGCTCTTTGTGCCAGTGCTGAAGTGTATAGCTGTTTCACTTTCATCAACAGTAGGTTTCTTCTCCACTTCTTCGGATTCTGAGTCATTTTGCCACATATCTTTGACGAACTTTGAATCGGAGGAGTGCACTGCAATCCCAGAATTCTGAAATCCATCGGAATTTCCTTGTGCAGTGCTATCTTCATAATCATCCATTGGTTCACTTTTGATGAACTTTTCCATTAGTTCTGGGGATATGTACATTGTACCATCAGTATCAATGGTGTCTGCATCATTTAAAATCTTATCCGCAGACTCCTCATCATTTCCATTTGTGTAATCCAGTTTACGACTGGCCTTTGACAAGGAGCTGCTTTTTCCGTCATTGGACTCATCCTCCATGTCTTCGTCCATATCACTTATCATGGCTGCCGACACACTAAATTTTGCCAAACCAATAACCATTAAGTTCTCACAGTCCACAACCTTATTAGCATTATTTTGTTGAATCAGCATTGCACCTTCAATGTCGGCTGACTCTGTCACGGTTGGTTGGGCGAGTGTTTCGTGGCTTATCTTGTGAGACTTGAGCTTTTCGGCATTGTCAAAAGCTTCTCCACACTTGTCACAGGTAAAGATCTGATTTATACTGTGAGTTACTTGAAGATGACTAAAAAGTGCCTGACGGGTGTTAAACTTCATGCTGCAAATGCGGCAGGTATTTTTCTCCCTTTGTGGCAAGTGCGTTTTTAAGTGTTGTTTGACATGGTCTGACCGTGTAAACCGTCGTCCACAAACATGGCAGGGATAAGGGCGTTCTCCGCTGTGGACTCGAACATGCCTCTGAAGTTTGGAAGGGGTCGAGTACGTCTTCCCACAAACGAAACAAGAGTGATTTGAGACTCTCCCTGGCTTGGTATGCGATACAATGTGCTTTTTCATATCTTCAGCTGAATCGAACTGCCGAGCACAATATCGACACATGTATCGGGTGACAACTTTTAAACTTCCCTCTACCGCATCACTGGGAGTAACATCAGTCTTAGACACAATGCAGTGGAATGCATTTTCAATCTCTTCACTGGATGGAGCCTTGGAGAAGTGTGAACCGCTATCTTCTGATTCTGGTGGGGGAGAGGGGGGTTCTATTTTGGGGGTGATTTGGACAGAGAGGACAGGTTCGGTTTCCATTGTGAAATACCTTGAGGACATTAAGGAAATGTATTATCTACAACAAAAAAGGATTAAATAAGTAAAATTCAATTAAAAAATAATATGAATGAACATTATGATTGTTTTCATGCTTGCTACTTTCTGTTTGATGAAGTTTTAAAAGTAAGATGTTATAATTTTTCTATTGGTTGTGGGAGAAAAATGAAAAAGAAAAAATCTGCAACTGAATAAAATTTCACATTTAAAAATTTAAAATTTTGAACCGATTTGGCATTCTATAGCTTCAATTTATAATAAAACTCGGTTTTATTCGTATTGATTTTTCTTTCAGACCCCCTAAGGTACCTCAAACAGCGAATTTCTTGTTCATCTCCTGGATTTGTGTTTACATTCCGTTAAAATTAAAGAATTTATACGTCAAACAATTTAGGCTTGGACTCTCGCGATCGTAGTGAGTGTATTTTACAACATCGACTGATCGTTATATCTTGCTTTTCTGATTTCATTCACCCAGAGGACCCATTTATCGCAGCGCCATCTAACATACAATGAATTTGTAAACACGACCTAATTTTGAGAAAATCCCTCCAAAACGCACGTGGAACTGTGTTTCGAAATTTACACCGAATACCGACTCAAATACGCCTCTTTTGTTTTCTATTTCAATTAGTAGGTTTAACTATAACTTGTATTTTTTTAAGGGATTTTAGTTAGCTCCTTTAGAGGCCCCTCGTTCCCCAATAAGTATTCCAATGGCGGCGAAGGGACATACACAGAACATTATTAAATCCCTTGATGTTTTATGGTATATTTTTAATTATTCACTTTCAGTCGGTTTAAAACAACGCAGCAAAATTAATGTCACTTACCTAGATAATCTGAGAAGGCAGACAAAGTTGAAAATCCATAGTTTTGAAACAAAGGGGTCAACCTCGCCATGCAAACAGCCTTCGCCTAGGGAAATTATTTCCGCTGAAATGCAAAGGAGTAAAGGGCAATAACTCTAATTTATTTACAGATAAAAAACTATAAACCATTCATCAAATCTTACGGCAATCATTCCAGTTATTTAAAAATAAAACTAAAATGTTAAATTTTAGTTACAAATTAAAAGAAATAACAGACAAAAAAGTAAAATGTTTTTTTATTCATTATTTATCGACACTTTGACAAATAACGTGTGAAAAAATATTCTAAAATATAAAAATATTGATAGGTTCTACAAGGTAATCGGTTCCGCATTCTTCAAAAGGCGAAAAAAGAAACTCCAACAATCAGAAAATCTCTTGCAAACAGTAACCATGGTAACATAAGTAAGTCCCCTCGATTAAAGTCATGGTGCTCAGTATTATTTTTAATGTAGAAAGCAGAGAACAAATTCTCTAGCTCTTTATCGAAAGTTTTCAAAATTATTATAATTTTTTTTCAGAAATCATAAAGTTTTCAGTTCCATGAAAGGGGAAGTTATTTTGGAAGTAAGATTAAACTGCAGAAATTTGAAAAGACACTTCAACACATAAATTTTTATAACATTTAATTATGCGTCTTAAATTACATGTAGTTTTTAAAAATTTAAAATACAAGTTATATTTAGAGTACGAGTTTCCTACTGTATCAGAGATACAGGGCGGGGCTTGAGGCGAGAGCGATAGCTCGAGCCGGGCCCCGCCCTGTATCTCTGATACAGTAGGAAACGAGTATTCTAAATGACTTGTGACATGACCTTTCTAATGACCTCACCAATTTACATTCATATTTGGGTACGTATCTCTCAACCAATCGGATGATTTTAGCAGAAAATTGATTTAGTATCCCATTTTAAGCATTCGCAAGTGAAATGCCGAGAGAGGTGGACATGCAGGTATTTATCATTTCAAAATAATTATTTAGGGGATGCATTATATAATTTGTTTTCCAAAAAAATAAATTTAAATTTGATTGCGTAGGTTTTTTTTCTCTATTCAGCTGTTGCCGACTTTGTTTTTTAAATTTAAGCTACGATTTAATCCAAAACATTTAAATATAAAAGAATCATGTGGGAATGTTTTTGAAACAAAAATACTTCTGCGAAACTGTATTCTGAGAAAAAAGTCCGACAATGTCCTACACCTGTCGTATTATTTAAAAAATGAAATAAACAGATGAAATGAAAGCGAGGGGGGGGGGGGTATTTTACCTTCATGTTTTTAATAAAATGTAGAGTAACCAAAGGGGATCCCAGCACTCACTGGTACCCCCACTCAACCTTCCTGTGAGTTTTTGTTTTCTTTTTCGCTTTCGTATATGATTTTTGCTAAACTTGTATACATACGCTTATCAATTTATCAACAAGAAACGATAACACTACATAGTGTCTTGGTTGGCTATAAATCTACCCCCCTCACCGTGTATAATATACGAGTTTCCATTTATTTTTTATTGGGGGGGGGGGGCGTAGTAATCATTTGTGAACTGTCCCACTCCCTCCTTTCTAAAATTTTTGAATTCGACACTAATAACTACGTTGTAAAATTTTATTCTTAATTCACCTCAAATTTTGAGTAAATACTTACAGTGCTTTCATGGAAATTGAACGATTCTTGTGTCTGAATATGGATACAGCTTTCCGTCATGGCTAAAAATAAACCGTACTGTATCGTTGATATTTTGCAGATACAGTACAGTTTCTGCTCATTTGCATAAGAAACGCCCACAAAAAGTGTTCTGTATCGCAGTTACAGTACGCTTGACTTCAAAGGAAAACTCGCCGGGTCATGTCACAATCGGAGAAACATCTATTAAAATAATGTTCCTTTTTTGTTTCAATGGCCAAAAAAAAGTCAACAAATTGTTCAATCGATTACATCGTACCATAAAATAAATAAATAAATTTAGTTTCACCAGATGAACAGGGTGTCTTATAATAATTAATTATTACTTCAAAAGAATTGGTTGGGGAACAATATTCATACATGTACTTTGTATGTTTCAATGGAACCGGTTTGCGATTTGAAAAAAAAAGTTGAATGTACAACTAGACTTGTGATCATAATTTCAATGAATATTTCGAATTCATTATAAAAGCACATGTGAGGAAAATTATAACGTTAGAAGACAAGTGTATATGGATGCCGTTTTAATATTTTTGAGGTATTTTCTGATATCAAAAAAAAAAAAAAATTCTTGAAATCAATAATTCGAATTCTTGATATCAAAAATTAGATTTTTTGATATCAGAAAATCATTTTCTGATCTGAGAAATTCGAATTCTTGATACCACAAAATATGAGGCGCAGTTTTAATATTTTTGAGGTATTTTTTGATATCAAAAAAGAAATTATTGATATCAATTACTCGAATTCTTGATATAAAACAATATTTTTTGATATCAAAAAATAATTATTGATATTAAAAAATAGATTTTTTGATATCAGAAATTTATGAGGCGCCGTTTCAATATTTTTGAGGTATTTTCTGATATCAAAAAAAAAATTATTGATATCCATAATTCGAATTCTTCATATCAAAAAATATTTTTTGATTTCAAAAAATAGAATTTTTGATGTCAGAAAATCATTTTCTGATATCAAAACTTCGAATTCTTGATATCCAAAAATATTATTTATTTTCTGATATCAAAAAATCGATTTTGTGATATCAGAAAAAGATTTTTGATATCAAGAAATAGAATTTTTGATATCAGAAAATCATTTTCTGATATCAAAAAAGAATCAAGAAATCAATTTTTTGATATCAAGAATTCAAATTCATGATATCATAAAATATATTATGGAATGTCATATACGACAGCCAACTGCTTACTGCCAACTGCTGACTGCTTACTGCCAACTGCCATACATTTTATATTTGTATTGATATTCATATGAATTTTCACAAAAAAGGGAAAAAAAGGCACGGATCCAGGACATTTTTTCCAAGAGGGTCACCCTGGTAAAATTGAATTGAATAAAATGACCAATATGTTTTATCTTATGTAATATTCAATATATGCGGTTGATAAAGTACATTGTTTATTTTTTTTTAATTTGTTTTCCTATTTGAAATAGGTAATAAAATGACTATTTTCTGCTTTTAATCTTTAAAGAAGCCCCCCCTCCCCCGGAGACAACAAAACCTTTGAAGAGAGAATAATAATAAAAAAGATTTGCCGTTTCGCAGAGAAAGATGTTTTGAAAATAAATTTCCGTTTTCCATTATATTCTATAGTTAAAAATTTCCTCAAATTAAAGAATGCTGTCACCCATTCTCAATATAAGGGCACAAATGCCTCTCTGATTTTTTTAAAAATGAAGTTCAAGATAACAATTTTTCTATCAAATAACTTTGAAAGAAAGTATTTGAAGATTTTATTTCCAGATTTTTTTCATCAAATTATAATACATGGAATAATGACAAGACGATAAAGTAGAGGATGATTTTATTCAGAAATGTAGCTTGAAATGTACGTTACTCTTTCTTCAATGTCCAAAAAAATATGTAAAAAAAAATGTAGTCATTAAAATCACAATTGGAATATCTCATCTTAACACCAGCACATCCTACCAACTCTGTCAGCAACATATTTTCGCGGCATACGAACGTGCGTTTGATTTTTCCTTTCAAAAAACAAAGGTTACTTTTTGATCCAGATGTATAAAAACATTTTTTAAATATATGCTTTAAATTCTTCTCTCTGTTTTGTTTAGAGCGATCAATTTGGAATCTTGTCATTTTCTATAGATACTGGAACCTAACATGTACATGTAGTAAAATTCTATTTTGTAGTTACTGTCTTTTTTAACATATATCCATGCCGATTTAGAAAACTATGTAAATGTAACGTACATTTCAAGATATATTTCTGTTTAATAAAAAGCTTAAAATTCATCTAAAATTCATTTAAAAATTCATCGTTTTGTTTCAGTTTATTCCAAAAAAGATTCTCTATGTAATCACATTGTGTTATATGTCATAATCACCACTATAAAGACACGATTGCCTCAGAATATGAGTAGGTAACGTACATTTCAAGCTTGTAATAATATGTAAATTAGTAATAAGAAAATATTGAAAAAAAAAGCAATTATTGACATAAAAATCATATCAATGAAGCGTTTTAAGGCAGTAATATAAGAAATCATAATGTAACAAACGAGGTTATTGTCATCAACTACATGAATGTCACGTCACTTCGGTAACGTTCATTACACATATTATTGAGGAGTCCCCATCCACCTCAGTTCATTACCATTCTTTTGTGCTGTTTCGCTGAAATTGACACCGGTCGTAGCCAAGTTACTTCTAACTGTGTGCAAGGGTACAGACAAAAACAAATATAAGAGTCAGATGTATTTTGCTATGATCTAACAAATGTTCGTGTTTGGTCATTGAAACTTAACATAAATCTATTCCGAATATATCCATCGACAGTCTTGTTAACAATTTCATTTAGTATGTTGCAACATCGTTTTTCAAAACACAAACATACGTGCTTTTCAGCAGATCTGGAAAAATATAACCCAAAATGCAATGATTCAAACAAAACTGAGTATTCAGTATTTGAAATGTACGTGACCGTCTTGTGTTCTGGGTTTATTTGTTTTGTTTCTTTTTCTTTTTTTTAACCAATTATAAGCCTATGCATACCTTGTTTTAAATTATCAACAACAATTCAATTAGTATTGACGAAAAGTCGCATATGAAAAGTAAACAAACTGCAAAAAGGTTGCCAAAGATGAATCTAAGACACTTAGAAATAAATTTTCTAGCATGTGGTAACAGTTTAAAGCATTTACGAGGATTGGGGGTGCATTTAGATGGATTTATGTGGCCAGTTGTCAAATGGATTGTAACGATAATTTTGTTTCGCTCGTGTAAACGCAATTCATTGACTAAATTAAAAAAAAAATGTCAGTAAGAAATACATAAAATGTACGTTACCATACGTAACGTACATTTCAAATATAAAAATCAATTTTCTTCCACAAGCATAC